AGCCTCATTTATAGTACTAAATAAATCCTCTGATATTATTAAAAAGTCTATCATAATCATTCTCAATGTCTGTTACAGAAAGGTATATGTTGCTATTATAGTTAAATCTAAGTATATTGTTTCGTGCTTATCGTAATTCTTCAACCAGAAAAATAAAGCAAGATAATTATTCTCTGTTTAAAAAGCAGTTTGATAGTTGGGCACATTTTGAGAAAGAATTTAGAAATTGGTGCATTAATTGTTATCAACCAATGAATATAAAACGTTCTTCAATGAAATATAATGAAAAAATAACGAGAGAATCATTTAACTATGTTCAATACCAAAATGTAATGTATGTATGTCATTATAGATGTCCTGTTCGAAGACATATAAAAGATGAATCAAGACCAAACCAAGAATCGGCTCGATTATATTGTGAATTTATTCTCTTTCTCGTAGAGAAGAGTCTTGTGAGAATAAATTGTTTGTTTGCTTACTTGTATGTCCGCACTTCAGTGATTGGTCCAAAAGAAGGTGAAGACAAAAAGGATTATTTTCCATAAAACTTGACCAAAGGGTAATCGAGGATGAGGAGTTCGAATCTAAGACTAGTTTTAACTGATTATTAATTAATTATTAACTATTCATTAATTATTAATGTTTTCTATAAAACTTGACCAAAGTTTATCGAAGATAAGGAATCCAAATCTGAGCTCAGTTTTAGCTAACTTATTACTAATTAATTATTAGCTAAATATTAATTGATTATAAATTATTATTATTTTTCGTAAAACTTCACTGCGGGTTATTGAAGGTAAAGAATTCAAATCTGATATCAGTTTTAATTAATTAATTAATAATTAGTTATTAACTAATTATTAACCCTTAAGAGCCGAATGTCCCTTTCAAGGGACATTTAAATAATTGTAATCAAAGTCTTATAAAAATGTTGTAGACAAAAGCCAATATTTTTCTGGATTGATATGACTTTCGAGGCCATACCTAGACCAAAATGTAGTATTCAGATGGCTGTCAGGCGTAGCAAAACACCTTTTTGGTCTGATGACTTTTTTCAATAACACCTTTCTTCCCTAAAGTTGTATCTATTCGGAGATGCGACATACAGTGTAGTTTATTTTATGTTACACTCTTAAGCCTATCACCAAGCTATTCAATGTCAGCGTTCTAGAATCTTTTAACCGATCTACTGACAGATTGTGCCGTGATCAATAAAAAATTCCTTTGGTAAGACATTCAGCCTCATAGAAGAATCAAAACAATGTATTTCTAACATGAAACTTGGCTCATACATAGCCCTAGTAGTGTTTAGGAAATTTCAAAATTTTCAGGAACAACTGTTGTTTCTTTCGCGAGATACAGAATATTGAAGTTTTTAGCAATTTTTAGTAAAATTTAGCTGGTTTTTGGATTTCGAATATCTCAGGAAGAAAGCATCCGTTCTAAGTGAAAATTTCGGAGCATATTAAGTATTATCAAAACTATCTAAAGGCAAAGTTTCAGATCGAAATTCCTACTTTTTCGAATTTTTACAGGGATGGATATTCCTACCAAAGGAGGTTGTGTAGGTCCAGAATAAGAAGAAGGTAATTATTTTTAACTGTAGTACGAGTATACTGAGGGTCCATAATCTCTGTTTTTCTAATTAGATTCTCATTTTTATAAGCGGAAGCCACTTCGGCTTTTAAGGGTTAATCATTATTATTTTAAATAAAAATTCACCATAGGTAATCAACGATGAAGAGTCTAAATCTGTGATCCGTTTCCATTAATTAGCTATTCATTAATTAATTAATAGTTATTAGTTTATTGTATAAAGCTTCATCAAAAGTAATCAAGAACGAGTGATTTGATTACGGGCTCGATTGGAATGATTCAATGATTTAGAGAGCAGGGATATGAGTGAGCCAGAGATGAATAACATATGTATACTAAATGAATAATTTGCTGATAATAAGAAAATAGTTCTTCTACGAGAAAGAGCTAAGCGAGTCCATAGACAAGCGTTACTTGTTTTAAAACGCTATACGGAATTAAATAAAATTGTTTTTATGAAAAATCAAAATTTAACTCATAACGATCCAAAAATGAGAAAGTTTATAAGAATTATTCAGTTTAAACAGATAAAGCATTAGAGATAGAGATGTTCCATCTTTAATGTTTTATGATCAGATATCTTTTACGTGATCATTATGTTAAATGTACTGAAAATAATGAAATTTAATTGTTTCGTTTAAAACCAAAGAGAGAAAGCACTAGATATACTGTTGAGTTTTTGATCTTTATTTGACTTATACTTTATTTGTATGTAATAAAGAATTACTAAAATTATGAAAAAGCTTAAATATTTAATATATATAAATCAACAAAAACATATAATACTATAATATGACTTCATATTTACTAATATATTGGTTATATCTACCTGTGTGTACATAGCCAAAGGGCTATATACACATATGTGTATATAGTCAGTCAGCTATATACACTTGTGTGTATATAGTCAGTCAGCTATATACACTTGGGTGTATATAGTCAGTCAGCTATATACACTTGTGTGTACATAGCCACTTGGCTATGTACACATATGTGTACATAGTCACTTCCTAGATTAAATGGTACCATCTATCGTTATGTTCTATAGTTCTAGCAGTACCGAGCATATTCCACTAGAGCACTAAATCGATTGCTACGATGGAAAAAAATCATTTCATCTTAACGTGTTCCTAGCTCAAACAAGCACAACAGAAACAGTCCATGGCAGCAAGCAATTAGTGGATTTCAGAACCTCTTGCGGTCATCAATAGAGAAAATCAAACCGTACGATACTACGTCGAAATCCCAGTACTTTCAGTTAATCACTTCAAACGGGATGCCGCGGGTCTTACTCGTCCGAGATGCACCATCTTGGAAACCATCACACGAGCGCCAGTGACTTCGATTCTGCTTTTAGAATTACTCTATAGACGGTGAATCGAAATGTCGCACTCAGTACAGAGTTTAAAACAGGTTCGATGCTTCCGTTTCAACTTTTTTTCTAACCAGGGTTCGATTTTTCCCACTCGGTTGCTTTTCTTGACATGTACGTCATGCAGTCTGTGAAAAATACCCAGAAGAAAAAATCTAGAACACAACAGTATTTTTTTCAAGCAAAAACATATAAAGTAAAGAAGAACAATACTTAGTCAGGCAAGGGATTATTTTAACGCGTTAAAATGCGCGCTTTTTACTCTAAGAAAAACGTTAAAAAACGGTTTTTATGTCTGTCAAAAGCAAGTTTGTACGCATCGTTGTCTCGAAGCTCGCTGTTTTTTGCAAAAAAAACATTCTTTTTGAAAACGTAAAAACGCGTTTATTTACCGATTTTGTCTGGCTGCCCATGGAAAAAAGGATGAAAAAGAACAGATAAAAACGCGTTGTTGGAATAAAAAAACGCGTTCTTAAGACGCTTTTTGCGTTCTTTTCGAACCCTTTTTCCTCTTGAGAGAACGCGTTTTTTTCCGCAAAAAAATGCATTTCTCTCTTCCAGAAACTCGATCAGAAAAAAATTGTTCTTAGGCAACAACAACATGTTTCAAAAGAACGCTAAAGGTGTTTCCAGGACGCGTTGCATTTTTCCAAGAACGCATTCATGGCCGTTCTTTTTCTTGAACCTTTTTCATGGAATGTTTTTATTACGCTATTTCCAACTGTCGAGTTTGGCAGTAGAAAGAGCATCAAAAGTTGTGTCTGTAATGAATATTTCAGATTAATTTGATATCATAATGAAGAGATATACATATGTGACTTTTCGCATATTTCGATGTTGGAAGCACCTCCTATGACAAAAAGTTCATAAAAAGAGCGTTCATGAATGCGTTCTTGAAAAAATGCAACGAATCCTGAAAACGCTTTTAGCGTTCTTCTGGAACGTGTTTTTCTTGACTAAGAACGACTTTTCCTGAACGCGTTTCTGGCAGAGAGAAACGCGGGTTTTTTTGCGGAAAAAGCGCGTTCTCTGACGGAAAAAAATATTCGAAGAAAACGCTAAAAGCTTCTTAGGAACGCGTTTTTTATTCCAACAACGCGTTTTTATCCGTTCTTTTTTATCCTTTTTTTTGAAAAACGAAATGAAAGGAGTGTTGGAGTGTTTAGGGGAGAAATTTTGGCCCCCCCCCCCCCCCCCCCCCCCCCCCCCGCCGCCTACGGACCGTGACAGAGAAAATTCATACCCATCACAGACCGTGACAGAGAACCCCGGGTACCCATCACAGGCCGTGACAGAGAACCCCGGGTATCCATCACAGACCGTGACAGAGAATCCGGGTACCCATCACAGACCGTGACAGAGAACTCGGGTACCCATCACAGTCCGCGACAGAGAACCCCAGGTACCCATCACAGACCGTGACAGAGAATCCGGGTACCCATCACAGTTCGTGACAGAGAACCCCGGGTACCCATCAGAGACCGTGACAGAGAACTCGGGTACCCATCACAGAGAACCCCGGGTATCCATCACAGGCCGTGACAGAGAAACTGTAGTTGTAAAGCATCAGATATATGGTCAGCTACAAATGTGTCGTAAGGAAATGGAACAAAAGGATTTCCATTTAATTATTAACAATAGGTCCATCGTGTTTCACACTTTTAATCCCGCAAGGGATTGCGCTAACAGCTTTTTTCCATGGGTGGGTTGTGATAAAACGGTTGTTCTTTTCTTTTCTTTTCTTTTCTTTTCTTTTGATGCAGAATTTTTCCCACTAAGAGCCGCCGTCAATCTTTTATATACGTACATTGACAAGCTGTAATACGTCTCTCTGTTTCTGGTTATTACGGTCTTTTATTGAAACATGGCTTACTCGTCGGACGCAAGAAATAGTGTACAGTCAGATAGCTGTTACGCTAGCGAAGTCGAGAACAATTCGGAAGTAGAAGAAAAACTACGCGAATTAGAAGACAAGAAGAATGAACTGGAAAATGAAACACGCATAGCCAAAGATGAAGAAAAAGCCATCAAGATGCAGATTACTGAATTGAAGCGAAATGCTGAAGAGCATAAGAATGAATTGCGTCGTCTTGACGATGATATAAAAAGGTTGAAGGGTGAGATTGAACGACTCGAACAAGAACTCGATGCCTTACGTAATGAACAAGAACGAGTGGAAGACCAACGGCGTCAACAGCAACAGGAACACGATCGTTTGGTGGAACAGTTACGTACACATATGGAACGACTGGAACAGATGCAAGAGAAAATGCGAGAATTGGAAGAGCAAAAGATTCATCTAGAAGAAAAGCGTGATCAACTCGAACAGCAACGACAACAAATCGAACAAAAAATGCAAGAGCTTGCACAACAAATTCAACAATTGGAGCATCAGATACAAGAACTTCAAATGCGTTTGGCTCAATTGCAGCAAGAGATTCGTCGGTTGGAACTCGAGATTGAGCGACTACAAGATGACTTGCGTCAGCTCGGTCAACAATTGGCAACATTTGAAGAACAACGTGTCGACATCGAGCAGAAAATACGCGACAGTGAAGCAAACCGGAATCGTCTTCAGGAAGAAGCAAACAAGATCGAAGATATGATGCGTCGTATTGATCAATTGATCGACATGAAACGAAATCGTCAAAAAGAAATGGAAGAACTAACACGCAAACTACAAGCTGAGGCAAACGAAGCCAAACAACGAGTCAATCAAGCAAAAGATCAGCTTCGGGCTGCCGAGGCACGAATTCAATCGTATCGAGGCATTCTCGAACGTCTTCGAAACGAACAGAGCAAACTGCAGCAGACACTCAGCGAAGGTGAGCAGATCGTACATGAATTACTAGGACAGCGATTTCAAATAATGTATGTTTTTGTGAATGATTCTCGTCAGATCTGCAATGAATTGTCATGTATACATCTTTTAGGAATACGATGCAGACAAAACAACAAGAACGACAACATTTGCAATCAGAACGAGACAATCTGAGTCAACAACTCGAACAAAAGAATGCCGAACTGAAACAAGCCGAGCAACAGCGAGAGGCCCTCGTTCAAAAGATCAATATACTCCAAAGGGAAATGAAAACATTAGAGGAAAACCTGCGTCAACTAGTCCAGAAACGAGATCAATGTGCTGTACAATTGGAACATGAGAAGCAAAAGCAGCAACAACTTGAAACAGAATTGCATACAAACGAGCAAAAAGAACGCCAAGCGGAACAGGACGTCAGACAACAAGAGCAACGAGTACGCGCAGCTGAACAGACACTACGTGACTGCGAAACTCGAGAAGCAGCAGCTCGACAAGCTGAGCAACAAGCTCAGGCTGATAAAGTACAAGCCGAAGCTAATCTGGCTCAGACCGAGGCAGCCTTGTCTCAGGCTGAAGCTGCACTTGCTGCTTTGTCGGGTGAAGATGTAGATCCCAGTGCACTCCAAGCCGCTCAGGCTCATGTCGCACAATGTCAAGCTCAAGTCCAACAATGTCAAACGGTTGTTACACAACGAACTCAAATATATCAACTAAGACAACAGGAACATACTCGTGCACGAGAAAAAACGGCTCAAAGTCGAGCACAGCTTCAACAAATCCAAGCTGATTTGCAAGTGAAACAAACAAAACTGGCCAGTCAAAAACAAAAGGTGCAAGATAGTCGGGCCAAAGTCGAGCAACAGAAGACGGTAGTGGCTCAAGTCCAGGAGACACTGAATCAACTGCGAACTGATTGTCAAAAAGCCGATCAGCAAGTGAAAAGTAAAGGTCAAGAGATTCGCAAGACACAATCTGACCTCGAAAAACAAACGCAAATCATTCAAAACATTAAAAGTGCTGTTCATCAAGTCCAACAAGAGATTCACACGATTACACAGCGACTTCGAGAGACCGATGCAGAAATCTATCAATTAAAGCGTCAGGCTAATGATATCGATCAGAAATATGCAGCTAAATTGGCAGAAAATGCACGACTTATGCAGCAGCAACGTCACAACGCTGCTGAGCAACAGAAAGAAGAACATAATATTCAACAACAACTATCGATTATTCAAGCGAAAAATGGTGAAGTACATCGAGCTGAAGGTCAATTGGAAAATGCCAATGCTAACATCGCTCATATGGGCAGATCGATTCAAGAGTTGGAGAATGAAAAAGTCGAGCAACAACGAAATCTCCGCACAGCACAGCAACAACATCAAAAGGCCGAAGCTGATCGAGCAAAAATAGAAGTTAAACTGGCCGGTCACGAACGCGAGAAACAACAATGCGACAATGATATACGTCGTCTCACACGTGATCTTGATCAACGAAGACAGAATCTTGACGAGAAACGACAATCGATGAGTGCTCTACAAACGCAACTCGAACTTAAACAATGGGAAATTTCATCCCGACAAGAACAACGAAAGCAATATGAACAACAAATGACGACGATTCAACGAGCTTTGGCTGATAATCGACGTGAGATAGCCAATATCGACGCAAGGATGCGTACGCTCGAACGAGATACACAAAAGCAGGCGGCACTCAAGCAGGAAAGTGAACGCCTCGTACAACAAAGTGCTAATGATTTGCGCGCTACTGAACGAGATTTGGAACGATTGAATAGAACCATCAAGGAGAAGCAACGCGCTTATGATGGAACGAAAAAGAATTCTCAAGATTTAGTCTACAAAGCAGAGTATCGTCGTGCACTGCAGAGCACGAATGATCAAGAGTTGTCTAAGATGCAACAACGAGTCAATCAGCAACGAGCCCATATCAATAATATCACAAGAAATCTTTTTGAGATCAACAAAGATATGAAGACAAAACGAACCCACTCTTCTGTGATATCATTTGGGTATGAGCATTTCAACCAGAATGAAAGTAAAGAAGACGACGAGATGGATCATAGACAAAGAGTCCATGAACAAACGGTTACTCTGCGCCACTGAGTTAATCCTATTAACTATGAATTATCATAGAAACAAACATTATCTGTTGGTGTTCAGAACAAATAATGATGCGCGATTGGACGTTGTTAAACTGACTTTTGTCAGTAGCTTGTTTCACCTTCTAGTATATTCTATTCTTTCCACTACTAACTATCTCTAGTATTCAATTTGAGAATACATGAAATCGATCGAGCAAGCCTATGTCATTGGTCTCAATCTCAATAGAAGAGTGCCTTTTTTCTAATACAAACAAGTAGTTGGTTGAGAAAATGATTCCTGAGTTCACCAGCCTGTGATAATCATGTGCATGATACTAGTTGTTTCATAAGGGCACTATTGCTCCTCATCTGAAAATGAGTCAACAAGAGAGCTCCACGGGACATAATGCGATAATCTTTCAGTTGTTCGGTCTGGATGTGGGTGTGGGTGGGGTGTGGATGAGTGTGGGTGTGGGTGTGGGTGGGGTGTGGATGAGTGTGGGTGTGAGTGTGGGTGGGTGTGGCTGTGGGTGTGGACGTGAGTGAATGAGGGTGTCTGTTAATGGAACACCCATAATCCGCACCCACCCACACCCCACCCCACCCCCACGCACACCTACACCCACACCCATACCCACACCCACATCCCACACCCACACCCACACCGACACCCACCCACACCGACACCTACCCACACCCACACTTACATCCACACCCACACCCACACCCACACCCACCCACACCCACACCCTTATTAAGTACTGCATTGATCAATTGATGATCCATATATTTATTGATTAT